CAGCCCTTGCCTTTCCCCAGCGTAGTTCCTTTGTTTCTTCAGGTGTTTTTAGCAGTCTTCCTTCGTAGGCAGGAAGGCAGTGGAGAAGAGATCTGATTAATTCACTCCCCAGCCTTAAATAGGATTTACATATGGCAGGAACCTTTTGTTTCCCTGTTTGATCCCCACGCCCTTCAGTGGAAAAGTACCAGCTCAAGATGGTGTCCTGTACCAGGTGACATGATCACATGACCTTGCAGGGTCAAAGCAACCATGAGATAAGGTTTATTTGTAATGTCACAGGAAGGAACTTCAGGAAGATGAGAGATCAGCATCTTCAAAGACTCATTGTCTTTCCTAATGGCCCATCCAGGCTCATTGCCTACTGTCTGGTGGGCATTCCCCAAGTACACACACAGTTGTAATTGTTACATAGTCAATATTCCTAACTTCAGATACTGGAATGATACATGTGTACAAATTGGATAATAACATTCAGCAAGTCATAACCTTTCCAATGATACTTCACATGACCCATCTTGCATAAAACATATATTAGTTATGCCATATTCATATTATAACAATATTTTATGAAGAATATGAGGTGCAGCGTCACAATGGTAGCCCAACCCTAGCTAATACTTAGCACTTAACACAAAATTTGTTGCCAACAATATATAAAAACCAACATAGAGTATGAGAATTCTTATATATTCTCTCTCGTGTGATCTCCAGTTTTTATAAACTAAATCAAGCCAGCAAAAAAAAACAAAAAACCTGTTTCTCTGGAGCCCTCATTTACCTGTGGTCTCTGACAAGCTTCAAGCTCTCTCCATGCTAGTCACTAGCTGTACAAAGCAGTTAGAGTTGATGAAACAGCCCAGGAAGAAGTGTATGCAGTACTTAGATAACGATCATCCCTACATCTCCTTTGCATCAAATATAAATACATCTGTCCTCCACCTTTTCTCTATGTCTAATGAAATACAGAATCAGCTCTTGGATGAGGAGCAGCTAGCCAAAGCTGAACCCAGGCAAGATATAGGATGCTGGCAGGAGAAAAGGAAGCACTTCAAAGAACTGTCCGCCTCTGACACATCCAGTGGTTGAGGGAACCTGCCTTTAGATTGTGACCCATAGCCTTGGGTTCATTTGGACTCCTTCATGTTATTGGATGCCCAAATAGTCTTGTCAGCAAAAAACACCTAGTTCCATAAGCAACGGGGCCTCATCCTATCTGATGTAGGGCCTGGCCAGAGTGTGATCCATACAGTCCTGCCCTCCAGGCTTTACTATTGTAACTCACTGTGCCCAGGAGTTAAGCCACATGAATGATGTCTGTAAAAAACTCCCACTAGTAAAAAAAAAAAATAAAATACAGCAGCTCATCTGCAACACAGATTGCTGTGAACACATCCACCCTGGTGCTCTGCTGCTTGTACTGGATTTGCAATGAATAGAATCCAGTTCAAGGACTCTGCCCTGATATTCGAAGTGCTCCATTGGATTGAACCAAGCCACTTGAGAGATTAGCTCTCCCTTTGCAATGTGACCTCCCACCAAACCTACGTTCCACTGTAACCATGACACTGCCCAGCAGCATAGGGAGGCTCAGAGCACAGGAGCAGGACCTACACTGTGGAACTCACTCCTGGAAGAGAGCAGTTGTCACAGTCTTCACCACTTTCAGAACTCAACGCAAAATATAACTTGTTTGCTCAGCTGTCTCTCAGTAGGACCTGCATGCACCCGCGCACACAACTCTATTCAAGCTATTTTTGTGATGGAAGAAGAGGAGAGATTGTTATGTCTGTTTCCAAATAGTTAGACATGCTGAGATACTACAGTGATGGGGCCATACCTAGATAATAATTGATAGGTCTGAAAATGTAACTTTAAACAGGGAATTATCATTGAGTGGGTGTGTCCAGTGGGGCCCTACAGGAATTGGTTCTTGGCCCTACACTATTTAATATTTTTATTAATGACCTGGAAGAAAATGTAAAATCATCAATGATAGCTTGCAGACGACAAAAATTGGGGGAGTGGTAAATAATGAAGAGGACAGTTCACAATTCAGGTGATCTGGATCACTTGGTAAGCTGCTCACAAGCAAACAATATGCATTTTAATATGGCTAAGTATATACATCTAGGAACAAAGTATGTAGGCCCTGCTTACAGGATAGCAGACTCTATCCTGGGAAGCAGTGACTCTGAAAGAGATTTGGGGGGGGAGGGGTGGATAATCAGCTGAACAGGAGCTCCCAGTGTAACACTGGGGCCAAAAGGGCTAATGTGATCCTTGGATCCATAAACAGAGGAATCTCAAGTAGGAGTGGAGAGGTTATTTTATCTCCATATTTGGCACTAGTGTGACCGCTGCTGGAATCCTGTGTCCAGTTCTGGTGCCCACAGTCCAAGAAAGATGTTGATAAATTAGAGAGGGTTCAAAGAAGAGCCATGAGAATTATTAAAGGATTAGAAAACATAGTGATAGACTAAAGGAATTTAGTCTAGTTAGCTTACCAAAAGAGAATGTTAAGTGGTGACTTGAGTAACGTCTATAGGTATCTACATATAGAACAAATATTTATTAATGGGCTCTTCAATCTAGCAGTAAGATATAACATATTCCAATGGCTGGAAGTTGAAGCTAGACAAATTCAGCCTGGAAATAAGGTGTACATTTTTAACAATGAGAGTAACTAACCATTGGAACAATTTACCAAGAGTCATGGTGGAATCTCCATCACTGACAATTTTTAAAACAAGTTTGAATGTTTTTCTTAATGATATGCTCTCGGAATTATTTTGATGAAGTTTTAGATGATCACAATGGTCCCTTCTGGCCTTGGAATCTGAAAATCTCTATTATTTCTTCTGACCTCTTTCTCATTTCCTTTCCTTGTTTGCTTCTTTATCTCATTTCCATTATTTCTATCCCCTTTCCATCGCACTGTCTGTCATGTTTTTCTAAGAATGACAGGCCGTAGTTACAAAAGAAATTGGTTGGTGCTGTAATCCTACATGTAAGAGATTTTTCCGCCTATACTCCGTGGTGCCAGCTGCAGGGTGAAACTTATCTCTGTGATCTAGTAAGATTCATTTGCAAACTGCAGCAGATCGTGCTACTGTGAAAGGGTGCACCTGCCTTTAGTTTCTCCTCTGGCTGCTTGCTTCTCCCTCTTGTGGGAAAAGTCATCCTATCAGCAGCAGAAGAAATGGAGCTTATTCACCACCTCAGCCACCGTGGGTCTCAAGCAAGCAGGCTACTGATTTCTCATGCCTTGATGTGATAGTGCTAAAACAAATTGCTAGTAAATAAAGTCCCAGTTGTGGGAGTCATCTGGTTTCTCATCTCCATTACCCAGCATATTTTCTAATGCAAGCCTGATGTATTGAAAGGATAGAGACTAATAACTTCTCTTTCATTCAAGCCCTTCAGTTTTTCTGTTTGGACTTCTACAAGGAAAAATCAAATTAATTTCCCTTTGTTTTTGAAGCAAAAATTAAACTTTGCAAAGTTACCTTTGGGGAGATGCACAAAGTCACACTTCTCCTCCCTGTAGAATTCCTACCTGGTCAGCACTACTTGTGTGCAGTCATTTTCTTCTCTACCGCAGAGTTCCATTTATCACATTGTTCTAAAATATTTCAGCGGGTCTTCGTACCCTCTGCAGACAAACTCCTTTGTTTGCCTCGTGCTATTACATTTTTTCGGTTGTTGTAGTTTGACTGCAAGGGGCACATATGTTAGAAGTTTTAAACTATTGTTCAGATATCTCCAAATTTAAGAAGCAGGTTTATCCATCTCTTCCTTTGCAACTGTAAGAGGAAGCTTTTGTGTGTGTTGAATGTGGCAGGTCTTGTCATACGGTCACTACTGGTACTAATCATGATGACACAATGATTACAATAGTTTTTCATTTAGTAACTGGTAAGGTTAACATTTGTCAGAGTGAGTGAGTGTTACTGTAGAAAGCCTTATAAGTAAGGTACTTACTTGTAACTCTGTGACATTATAGAATATGATATTGCCATAGTTCACTTCATTTAGCTTTGTAATGGTTTTAATAAGTAGACTTCAGAAGATGTATGATTATATATCTCAGGAATTTCTGGATTTTCTGTGCCCAGTACAATACTTTGTAGAAACTTTTTTAAATGTGGATTGCAAAGTGATGTGTGAGCCAAGAATATGAAATGAGTGGCCTGACAAATAAGACATCCAATTAGCTAATCTTTACTTTGCATTGTGATCAGCTATTTTTGCAGCACTGAATACTTTTTAAATTTTATTCTTGTCATTATATCCAGTAATTTTGGTCATTTATTCAAATAGTAACCCCCAAAATCTGAATGTTAGATTGTACAGCAGAATGAGTTTGGAGAAAAAAATTAATTACATGTTTTATTCCACTGCGATTTCATTCTGCCTGCCATCAAAGTACAAAAGTATACATTAAAATCTTCTATCCTATTGAGTAGCATTCTTGGATTTTTCAAATTTAGCTATGAACATGGGTCAACTAGTGTCAAGACTGAAAGAACGCAGACTGCAAATGAGTACAGATGAAGGAGTTATGCAGTACATAATGCTAAAACAGGTGGTTTGGAAGAGGAACAAAATGTTTAATAGCTTAAAAGATTGCCGCTCTGCATCTCCAACTAGTGTATCGTGTTTACCAGGCTAAAGAAATAAATTGCTGTCAACTTAGATCTAAGTTTGTTTTTACAGCCTAAAGATTCTTACTTTCAATCTTTAAATCCTTGGTACGGGATTACTTTATTGATGTATTAAATTCTTCTAAAGTTTAAACAATCAAAAGACTAATATTATAAATAATGGTGTCTTTATATAATTTATATTCTGTAGTTGAATGTCTTATTTTATTTATCTCTGAGGAATTGGTTGCTATCTGTTGCAAAGAGTGTCTTGTGTGCATTGTCACCAAACAGATTATCGTCTGAGCACTCTAGGGTTTATTGTTCTAAAATACTGTATGTTTTTGTTTACAGGACCGTGAACTTCGACATAATAAAGTACTTGTACGATTTCTTGTGAAAACAAGCCTCACAGCCATATGGACACTGTGACAATGACTAAAGCAAGCTGTGTTCCTCTATCTACTTAGCTGGCCAGGCAGAGGAGCATTTTGGCTCTACTGGATTTGTCCAAACAGGTGCTGGCCCAGCATGCAATCTGATGAAAATATTCTGATTGGTCTGGGTGGATCTGAGCAGAGGACTATTTACCGGGGACCCTGGAGTATTTGGAAGCAATGTGTTAATTATAAACAGCAGGATTTGAGCACAATCTGTTCTACTCTTAATGATGTTATCTTAACACTGAAATTGCCTGAAACCCATTTACTTAGGACTACATTCTGCTCTATGAACTATCCCCTGTGCTTTGAACATGGCAGCAGCCCTTGTTTGTATGCCCAGGCTTTTCACGTCCTCTCCGCAGGAATCTTTGCAATTGCCTGCCAAAGCAGCTTTTCCTAAAGCCACCATTTTAAGAGAGTGGAGCAGCAAAATATAATAAACGTAAGTGCATGTTTAAAATCAAGCTGGTGTGTGCTTGTCTGTGAATCATATATAGATTAGATGTTCAACTCACATATATAGGGATTATGATAGGAAAACGCCAAATTTATCAGCACAGAATTAATCTTGAGACCCACTTGTAAATGTTAACCTTAAAACCTCCTCTTTATCAAGCTTTTAAAAAAAGCAAATTTTAAAATGTATGACTGATAAAACTACCATTTACATACTAGATGCCAATACTGGCAGGGCTTTTCCACTTGCCAGCTTTCAAGGAGCTTTTTATTTAAATATTCCTATAGTTCTTTTGAGCTCAGCCAGAGTGTCTTGAGTGCAAATTCTTGTGCAGTTCTCAGTGGAAATATTTTAGCCTAGTGTGTTATAGAAGCAAAGCAATCGAGTTTGAAGTATACTTGTAAGTACACTCTAAAGCCAGGGTACATGCTATACTGTGGTGCAGCATGGGTTCTTTTGCAGTAACGTGTGTATGGAAGATAAAGATTCAGTAAGTAACACGATGTACCTGTTGCACGCTATTCTTAGCAGAGAAAACACTGCAGTCTGAAAGAGGCAAAAAGTTGAACATACGTTATCATACCGTAAAGCCTTTGTCACACTTACTGAGAAACTCCAACACTTAATTTTCAAAGCATCCAAGTTTTCAGTACTACAAAAACTTGAATTTTTTTTGTTAACCAAAAATTGTGTATGATAGGGTAACCGTACTTTGTAATAAACTCTAAATTCCCTTTCATTTTTCAGAATCAGATGCTAGGCTAACTGCTGAGTGGCATTTTTTTTAATTGCACTAGGAATTTGACCAAGAATGTGCAGTATGGGATTTTGAGAGTTCCAGCATCTATTCCTGGGAGTGAAAGCAGGGGACACTAGTAAATTTTAGCTGGCTGAACACAAACTGGATCACCTGCTGTGTAACACATACCAACAGGAGCACATCACAGCTCTGCAAGCTATGTTGTCTTCCAGTCCAATTCCAGATAAGCTTTAAGATCCTACAAAGTCCTCCAAGGGCTGAGCCCTGACTCTTCTCCACAATCTACCACATCAGTAACCCTGCCATAAGCAAAGCCCAGTTTGAAGCTCTCAAAGATGATGGGTAAAATTTTATTGATGGCAAATCCAACCTGTGAAATCCCCTTTCACCAGTAATCAGGATGACTCCGAATCCTTCAAATAAAATGTAAGAAGCATTTAAAAAAAAAGTTCCTAAAATAGAAGTGTGTCCCAGCCACACTTACATGATTATTTCTGCTATTTCTAGTTAAAAGCAAACTCCATGTGCACACATGAACAGAATACAAGGGTTGGTGGAAAGCAAAGACCTCTAGACCATATACTGCTCTACATAATTTTGTTGGTGCATAGATACTATGGTGGATGGATTTATTAGAGATACATAGACATCTGAAATGTGAATCTGGCCTTCTATAGGGGAGTAGGGGAGTTTTCTTGCCAGGATGTTCAACATACAAATTATTAAAGAACATTCTCAAATTGTTGTATGATAAAAGAGGAATGCATCTAATGCCAGCCTGACACTGTTTGTTCAATGGATTGGGCAAATGTGCTTAAAAGGCAGATCAGCTCCTGAAGTAGATGCAGGAGCTGGGTATACCTTTCAGGCCATCCTGAGAGTACGGGACAAACAAAAATCCAACTCTCCCTTTTTTCTTTTCCATGTGTCATTTGGCAGAGTTGTGGGCTACTACCCACCATATGCTATCCCCAAAGCCTTTAATAAAGCTAATACACCAAACAATATTAAAAATGGAAGGTTGTTCCTAACTCTGAAATGTTCATAGCTCTGAACAAAACATTATGGTTGTTCTTTCAAAAGTTTACAATTAAACATTGACTTAATACAGCTTTGAAACTTTACTATGGAGAAGAAAAATGCTCTTTCCCTTTATTTTTTTAGTAGTTTACATTTAACACAGTACTGTACTGTTGGCTTTTTTTGGTCTCTGCTGCTACTTGATTGTGTACCAAATGAGGTGTGTGGTTGACTTGTCAGTTCATAACTCTGAGGTTCTACTGTACATGTGTTGTACCAGTGTTCTGGGCCTTTTTGGACCTTTGGTTTCCTTTAACATTGGCCAATGTATGTAAATACATTGATCTTTCTAATGTGACAGCAAATTGAGCCAAATCCAATATTTTTCTTGTCATGTGGTTGCATTAAATTCAGAGTCTCAAATTGCACAACAGTTCAAATATAGAGGCATCGGGGTTTACCTGCAGCTACTTATTATGTTATGCATAAGGAGTGGGGTCCCACAAGGATCAGTTCTGGGGCCAGTTCTGTTCAATATCTTCAGTGATTTAGATAATGGCATAGAGAGTATACTTAGAAAGTTTGCGGATGATACCAAGCTGGGAGGGGTTGCAAGTGCTTTGGAGGATAGGATTAAAATTCAAAATGATCTGGACAAACTGGAGAAATGGTCTGAAGTAAATAGGATGAAATTCAATAAAGACAAATGCAAAGTACTCCATTTAGGAAGGAACAATTAGTTGCACACATATAAAATGGGAAATGACTGCCTAGGAAGGAGTACTGCGGATCTGGGGGTCATAGTGGACTCACAAATATGAGTCAACAGTGTAACACTGTTGCAAAAAAAGCAAACATCATTCTGGGATGTATTAGCAGGAGTGTTGTAAGGAAGACACAAGAAGTAATTCTTCCACTCTACTCCATGCTGATTAGGCCTCTTCGGGAGTATTGCGCCAAGTTCTGGGCGCCACATTTCAGGAATGATGTGGACAAATTGGAGAAAGTCCAGAGAAGAGAACAAAAATCATTAAAGGTCTACAAAACATGACCTACGATGGAAGATTGGAAAAAATTGGGTTTGTTTAGTCTGGAAAAGAGAAGACTGAGAGGGGCATAACAGTTTTCAAGTACGTAAAAGGTTGTTACAAGGAGGAGGGAGAAGAATTGTTGTTCTTAACCTCTGAGGATAGGACAAGAAGCAATGGGCTTAAATTGCAGCAAGGGATGTTTCAGTTGGACATTGGAAAAATTTCCTAATGTCAGGGTGGTTAAGCACAGGAATAAATTACCTAGGGAAGTTGTGGAATCTCCATCATTGGAGATTTTTAAGAGCAGGTTAGACAAACACCTGTCAGGAATGGTCTAGATAATGTTTAGTCCTGCCATGAGTGCAGGGGATTGAACTAGATGACTTCTCAAGGTCCCTTCCAGTCCTATAATTCTATGATTATTAATCATGTTTATCATGGTAGTGCTGAAAGTCTAACCAAGAATGGGATCCCCGTTGTGCCAGACACTGTATATGCACAGAGTAGGCGGTTCCTGCCCAAAGAGCATACAGTCTAAGTCAGGGGCGGGCAAACTTTTTGGCCTGAGGGCCGCATCGGGTTTTGGAAATTGTATTGCGAGCCGTTTAGGGGAGGCTGTGCCTCCCCAACCAGCCAGGCACGGCCCAGCCCCCATCCCCTATCCCCCCCTGCTTTTTGCCCCCTGATGGCCCCTCCCGGGATTCCTGCCCCATCCAACCCCCCCATTCCCTGACAGCCCCTCCCTGCTCCCTGTCCCCTGACCGCCCCCGGAACCCCCCTGCCCCTGACTGCACCCCATCACCCCATCCAATCCCTCCTCTTATTCCTGACTGCCCCCCCCCAGGACCTCTGCCCCATCCACCCCCCACCGCTCCCTGTCTCCTGATCACCCTGGAACTCCTTCACCCCTGACTGCCCCCTGCTGCCCCATCCAACTCCCCTCCTTCCTGACTGCCCCCCCCCCGGAACCCCTGCTCCCATTCAACCCCCCTGTTCCCTGCCCTCTGACCGTCCCAACCTCTATCCACACCCCTGCCCCCTGACCACCACCCCAAACTCCCCTGTCCTCTATCCACTCCCTCCCTGCCACACCCCGGAGCACTGATGGCTGGCGGCGCTAGAGCCGCGCTGCCCAGAGCACCAGAACAGGCGCCCAGCTGGAGCCAGCCACGCCACCTCGCAGCACAGAGCACCGGGTCAGGCCGGGCTCTGCAGCCGCACTGCCCCAGGAGCTCGCAACCCCGCGCCCCAGAGCATTGCGCTGGCGGCGGGGCAAGCTGAGGCTGCGGGGGAGGGGGAACAGCAAGGGAGGGGCCAGGGGCTAGCCTCCCGGGGCAGGAGGTCAGGGGCCGGGCAGGAGCGTCCTGCGGGCCGGATGTGGCCCGCGGGCCGTAGTTTGCCCACCTCTAGTCTAAGTGGACAAGACAGACACAGGGTGGAGGGAAGAGATCGAACACACCAGCAGAGTGAACAATGTGATGGCAGCAAATGTCATATTAGTTGCTTGATTTTTTTTCTAAAAATTTCATAACATCCTTTTTAGAATTACACTGTTGCTGAACTTAAAAAATGAATGAAATTTTGGAACTGGAAAAGATGTTTCTGAAAATGACTATATTATTATAACAATTATTTTTTTCAGTATACCCATAAGTGTTTTAGAAAAGTTCTTAGAGACCACAACCAGGTCAGGAACTTAATTGGGATAGGTCCTGTACAGAACAAGACCTCTAGTTACTACCCCAAAGAGCTTATTGTTTAACATAGCACAATTGCAGTTCCTTCTTCCATCATTTTTACTCTCTCCAACCATACTTGTGCTGAACATTTGAGCAGAAATCTGGTGGGAATCACTCAGCCTGAAATTTTGAATAAATAATACAGTTCATGGTCCATATTTGGCAAATGTCTGCTGATATACGAGTCAGGGTCAAAAACCTTGACAAATGTCCTGTTATGCAGTGATCCAACCACAGGACTAAATAGAAGTATTATTGTAGTTTGCAACTGGGAAAATACACATTCACTTGCACTAAGGAATACATATGTCAAGGGACAATTGAAAGCTCTTGTACAGTGCTAAAAGAACATTCATTCTCTGGTGCCTGTCTCTTCAATATTTCCATTCTCGCTATACTTCTCAAGCTGCTAAGGCTCAAATGTGGGGCGCGATGTATGACAGAGACCCAAAATAAG